ACTTGTAATAATCGCATCGGAATTTGATCGTGTTTTTCGTTATCGTGCATTAGTTTATCTATGAGTGTGCGTCTCGTCTCGGCTGGTCTGGTGCGAACTGGACTCTGCTTTAGTTCAAAGTGAATCCTCCGAAGTGGCAGTTCTTCGTACATTGAACAAACAAAAAAAACAGTATTAACTAGTTTTGGTAAATAGAGAAGCAAGGAAGTGTTGTTTTTTTTTTAAATTATTTATTTCCTGACCTATATATTCGAGTCACACGTGTCTCACCTAAATATACACCCTACCTTGACTACAAATGATATTACGAAACCCGCACGACGTGTAATGGAAGAGGGTGAATGAATGTTGAAGCATGGAGCGAAAACCGCCGCCCTTACGTTTATTTTCGCTTCATTGAAACGAATTATTCACACTTTTTGTTGTGAAGAAACATCGTTATTGCAATATCCAAATACATTTATTTAATAAAAATAAAAATTACAACACTATTTCCATCTTTTAAACATTCACATTAATTCTCAACAAACTTCTTCAAACTTAGTGACAGAAATCACTCTTTCAAATTATTTAATTATGTAAAAAAATTCTTAGTATTTTTTTTTCTAGGTAAATTCAAATATTGAAATTCCACCAGTAACTATACAGTTTTTAACTTCAGTTAGAATTGCATCAATTGCATTTTTTTTAATCAAAACCTTATAGTTTTCTTATTTAGTATTATTTAGCTATACAAGAAAAGTTTTTTTCTAATTTTCTTTCACAGATCAGAAATATATCATCTCTTACAGTTTTCTCAAGTCAAATCATTACTACTTCAATTAGATATTCTTTGAGATCAACAGTTTACTACTTTCCAAGTAAAAAAGCACATACTTTTACAATTCGAACTATTTCTTACTTTCAATTTCAAGCATTTTCATAGTCTATAATAAGAATTGTATACTATAGTACTCTATAATAGCAAGATGAATATGTATAGTTAAATATACTCACCTTTTAGTGTTTTCTTCAGATAAAACTGTGGTATAATAATAACCTGAAGAGTATGAGAGATATATTCATCTAGTCGTTGCTTTTTTTTCCAGACATATGATGTGTTTATGGCTGGCATTTGTTTCAACACAATTTTCATCTTTTAAACATTCACATTAATTCTCAACAAACTTATTGACAGAAATCACGTGAATCTTTGAACTTTTACTCATCTTTTTATCCTAAACAACAATTTGTCATTCAAATTATTTAATTATGTACAAAATTTCTTAGTTTTTTTTTTCTAGATAAATTCAAATATTGAAATTCCACCAGTAACTATACAGTTTTTAACTTCAGTTAGAATTATAGAAAGTCAACAATTCATTTTTTTTAATCAAAACCTTATAGTTTTCTTATTTAGTATTAGCTAAATGTTTTCACAAGAAATATATCATCTCTTACAGTTTTCTGAAGTCAAATCATTACTACTTCAATTAGATATTCTTTGAGATCAACAGTTTACTACTTTCCAAGTAAAAAAGCACATACTTTTACAATTGGAACTATTTCTTAGTTTCAGTTTCAAGTCATTTTCATAGTCTATAATAAGAATTGTATACTATAGTACTTTATAATAGCAAGATGAATATGTATAGTTAAATATACTCACCTTTTAGTGTTTTCTTCAGATAAAACTGTGGTATAATAATAACCTGAAGAGTATGAGAGATATATTCATCTAGTCGTTGCTTTTTTCCAGACATATGATGTGTTTATGGCTGGCATTTGTTTCAACACAATTTTCATCTTTTAAACATTCACATTAATTCTCAACAAACTTATTGACAGAAATCACGTGAATCTTTGAACTGTTACTCATCTTTTTATCCTAAACAACAATTTGGTCATTCAAATTATTTAATTATGTACAAAATTTCTTAGTTTTTTTTTTCCAGATAAATTCAAATATTGAAATCCCACCAGTAGAAAGAAATTATACAATTTTTATCTTCAGTTAGAATTATAGAAAGCCAACAATTGTCTTTTTTTTAAACAAAACCTTATAGTTTTCTTATTTAGTATTAGCTAAATGTTTTCACAAGAAATATATCATCTCTTAAAGTTTTCTGAAGTCAAATCATTACTACTTCAATTAGATATTCTTTGAGATCAACAGTTTACTACTTTCCAAGTAAAAAAGCACATACTTTCACAATTCGAACAATTTCTTAGTTTCAGTTTCAAGTATTTTCATAGTCTATAAAAAGAATTGTATACTAAAGTACTCTACAATAGCAAGATGAATATGTATAGTTAAATATACTCACCTTTTAGTGTTTTCTTCAGATAAAACTGTGGTATAATAATAACCTGAAGAGTATGAGAGATATATTCATCTAGTCGTTGCTTTTTTTTCCAGACATATGATGTGTTTATGGCTGGCATTTGTTTCAACACAATTTTCATCTTTTAAACATTCACATTAATTCTCAATAAACTTCTTCAAACTTAGTGACAGAACTTTTGCTCATCTTTTTATCTTAAACAACAATTTGGTCTTCCAAATTATTTAATTATGTACAAAATTTCTTAGTTTTTTTTTTCTAGATAAATTCAAATTTTGAAATTCCGCCAGTAACTAATACAGTTTTTAACTTCAGTTAGAATTATAGAAAGTCAACAATTACATTTTTTTTAATCAAAACCATATAGTTTTCTTATTTAGTATTAGCTAAATGTTTTCACAAGAAATATATCATCTCTTACAGTTTTCTGAAGTCAAATCATTACTACTTCAATTAGATATTCTTTGAGATCAACAGTTTACTACTTTCCAAGTAAAAAAGCACATACTTTTACAATTGGAACTATTTCTTAGTTTCAGTTTCAAGCACTTTCTTAGTCTATAATAAGAATTGTATACTATAGTACTTTATAATTGCAAGATGAATATGTATAGTTAAATATACTCACCTTTCAGTATTTTCTTCAGATAAAACTGTGGTATAATAATAACCTGAAGAGTATGAGAGATGTATTCATCTAGTCGTTGCTTTTTTTTTTCAAACATATGATGTGTTTATGGCTGGCATTTGTTTCGTTATTGATGGAATCATATTTGGGTCAACGACTTAATTAAATTTAATCTCCTCTCCTCGTTTGCGTATCTGCATTTCTGTTTGGTTTCGACGGTGCGTGTGTGTGTATGTATTTATTCATTCCTCTTTCTCTTCCCAACTCGTCCAGCGTATACTTTTTACAATTTCATTTACGAGCGAACGCGATCACCAGCTGTGCAAATAGATTCAGTTCACACATACATAACACATTCAACAAATAATCATCAATTTTATTTTTTTGTAATGCCCTCCTCCCCACGTGTAAATAAATATTTATCGTACGATGCGTCTCTTCCAAACCTCTTTATCACAACCATCGTTATTTATTACCAACTCTTGCATATAACAACACACTCACTCACTTCCTCGCACACTACAGCACCGGTCTCTTCGGCCATTTACGCAATTTAAATCTGGCCGCGCCAACTAAACACACGTACAGCTCTCGATAACTTAATCTCTTTCGAAATTCTCTCCCGGTTTGGTAGAAACGAAAGCTCTGTGGGCAACAGAGAATCGCTTCCTTTCAGAAAATTACAAATAATGTTTCACGATATCATCGATATTCGGAGACACGGTGTATTACGTAATCTGCTGCTGTTGTTGTTGTCTCGTATAAATTAGTTTTCGAACATTATGAAAGAGCCATTCAAGAAATCATAATTTATAATGCAGTAACATTATCCCGTTTATGTGGATAAGCTCGTAATTAATGCGCTTGTTTACTTGTTGAATTTTTAATTGATTTTTAATCTTCTCAATAATTCGTTCTTTTTGCACAATGTCTCATCCTCTGTATCTGTATGTGCTCTGCACGATGTGTGTTATTGTTTGCCCGCGCACCTAAAAAGCTTTCAAATATTTACACAGCTCTCGAAATAGCTTAGGAACGTAGGTATATAGTACGTGTAGTAAAAGTATAAACATTTCGGAATAATGGGATAAATGAACTTTACATTTTGCATTGAGTGTGTGTGTTTTAACCCTTTAATTGCAAACGCACACAGTTCGATCCTGATTAATTACAAATTCATTGAACGACGATTGAAAAATGACTCGAATCTCTCTGTACGAAAGTACAATTACTACTCGTCATCTGAACGTCCTAAGTTCAGGAAACATCCAGTTTCCACCACTTTATCTTCCCGTTCAGCATTGTCCGACAAAACTCGCTAATTAAACAATTACAATTCAATTACTTTATTTGTTGTTTATTAGTAATATAAAATAATGAATTTCAATTTGAAGCTGTTTGAGAGATCCAAGGGAAGACGCGCTGAGCAGATGCTTCCCAGTTTTTGTTTGTTGTTTTTCTTCTCTTCTATTTTGTTTTCTTTCAATATCGCGTTACATGCAGCGCACATGAGTGGCCTTCCTCGAAAGAGAGAGAAATGATCAAAGATGCTGCTGCACAACACTCCAGCAAACAATTTCAGTTGTTACTTCGTTCCAAAATTGAGTTCCTTTGAACACGGACTTCGAGCATTGTGGCGAATCTTCTTGGGTTTCCTTCTCATTCTGAAATCGTTTCCCGAAGATTCTTCTCTTCTCCTCGCATGAGTTGCTAGATAAATAATGACACATTCTGATACAACACCATCGAGGCTCGCGTTTTACGACCATACCGCAACCATCTGTTCCAGTTGTTAAAAAAAAAATTAGTGCTGCGATCGTATACAGAGTGTTACTAAAACGAGTGCAAACATTTTCAAGGTGCGATCGTTTCTCTGAACTGAACAGTTTCTGTTACTGAAACGACTTCGAAATGTAATTCAGAAAACACGTTTCTTGTAATTGCTTTCGTTGTTTATTTAAGACGTATTTCAATTAAGACGTTTTGCGTTTGTGTTATTATAATTTGCAGCTTATTTATAATTTTTGTTTGTTTGTTGTTGTTTGCAGACGCGTACCCTCTTCGTGGAGGCGTTCTTACAGAACAACCGATTGGATCATGTGAGCCAGGTGATGGGATATCATCCATCTTACTTGGACAACTTCTTGAAAACGCAGAATTTCATATTGCGTGGCGATGGACCTCTACCATACGACTATAGACATTACATTGCGATTATGGTGAGTTTCTGATTGTTTCCAATTTTCGGTGCGACATCTAAATTGTTGATTTTCATTTGCAGGCAGCTGGACGTCATCAGTGCAGTTACTTAATACAATTGCAGAAGCAGGAGTTCTTGGTGCAGGGAGGTGATCAGTCTTGGTTGAAGGGTTTGCACTGCATCCCGCAAAAGCTGAGGAACCTCTATGACATCAACAAAATCTTGGCGCACCGGCCCTGGCTCCTAAATAAGTCTCACATTGAGGTAAGTGTTGAGAATTGTTATATCGTTGCAATGCTGTAATTTGTCGTTTTTCGTTTGCAGAAATTGACGAAGGGCAAGGACAGCTGGTCTCTGGCTGAGGTCGTCCACGCCATCGTGATTCTCACGCACTTCCACAGCCTTTGTTCGTTCGTTTTTCCGTGCGGCGTGAACCAGGAGCTCGACCAGGCCGGCGGGTACAGATATCCGGAGACTCTGCAGATGTTGAATAACCCAGGCGGTAACAGCGTTGCCGCAGCCACCGGTGTCAGCAAAAAGAGCAGCGATCCCAAAGATATACCGATTCCGAACGACACGAGACCGACGGCCGGAAAGATCCTGAACGGCGGTCGCTTGAATAACTTCATCAACAAGATCGGTGTGGCAGATTGGACGAGCGGACGGACGCAAAACCAGAGTCCGCCGTCGCCCACGGAGCCGGAGGTCGGTATCTCGACGCTGATGCAACGCATGAAGACGCTGTCCGAGCAGACGCAGGAGTGCACGCCGGTGGAGTTGGCGAAGAGGTTCGAGAATGTGGAGACGCAGAGCGCCGAGTTGGGAGCCGTCGGCCCGGAGCCGCAGGGCACTCCCGCCGACATCGGCATCTTCATCGAGGACACCCAGTTCATCTACCAGGACTTTGCTAAGCGCGACGAGCACCAGAGCATACCCACGTTCCGCGTGCAGGATTACTCCTGGGATGATCATGCCTACTCTTTAGTCAATAGGTAAGAATCATGCAACATTTTCTTAAAAACTGCAAATTACATTATATAAATCGTCTTTATTCATCAATATTTACGTTGCAGGTTATACAACGACGTTGGAAACCTTCTGGACGACAAGTTCAAGACTGCGTACAACCTGACGTACTACACTATGGGCGGAAGGACGGACGTGGACACTTCGCGTTTCCGAAGGGCCATCTGGAACTACATCCAATGTCTTCTCGGCATCCGTCACGACGACTACGACTACGGGGAAATCAATCAGCTACTGGAGAAGTCCCTGAAGACCTTCATCAAGAGCGCATGCTGTTACCCGGAGTGCGTCACCAAGAAGGATTACCTGAAGGTCCTAAGGGAGTTCAAACACAGCGAGAAAGTGAGTAACATTCTTCTATCTAAAATTCGAAATGATAATATTCAAAACAAATAGTTAAGTGCAATGCGAATTGATTGTTATTACTAAATCGACCTCAATTAATAATATTATTCACATCCAATTATTCGATTAAATGTCAGAAGTGACATTTTAATGACGGCTATTCTATAAATATAAAACAAAAGGTAGTTTTGAATGACGACCACGCCTTCTTAAAATAAAAAGATTTGCTTCCCGAATCAGGGTAATTGACTAATTCGTTGTTTCTTTAATTAAAGGTCCACGTGAATCTGATGGTACTGGAAGCCAGGATGCAGGCGGAACTTCTCTACGCGCTGAGGACTGTGAATCGCTACATGACAAACTAAAGAAGATATTCGCGCAATCGTTGCGCGAAAACTAATAATAACAAACAAAAGAAAATACACCTATCTAAGCCCGTATCTAAGGTATATATATATGTATTTGTATAAAGGTATATATATACAAGAACTCTACTCTTCATGCCTCCTAACGTAGGTATGAGTATATCATATTAATATATGCACAAAAAAAAATGGTAATTTCTATCTATATATATATATATTGAAGAGGAGAAGAAAAAATAAGTATATTTAAATATTAGTATGTTAATGATGGTTATTTTGTAATTGAAAAACGAAAATATGCGTTCAGTTTATGCGTTCACATTTATAAATTCTTGATTCGGACTTATTTATACATATTTTATCAAGCAATTCGTGCGAAGATTACGCAACAACACTCACGATCTATATGAAGTGGTGAATACATTCAGTAGGAACAAACTTTGCACCCAAAAATAAATATGCGAAGAATTAAGGAACGACATAATAATAATGAAATTATATAATACGACCACATTTTTGTACATAATATAAATAATATATATTGTATAATAATTTAACAAAAAAAAAAGTTAATAAGAAGTTTATATATATACATGAGCTGTAGGGGAAGAAGAGGTGACGATTTTGCGAGGATTCCTGCTGGAGTTTCTTTTAAAAAATTTAAATAAATTAAGATTTATTTTCTTTTTTTTTTTTCTTGATACTTTCGGGAAAATCCTCGCTGGACTTTGTGATCCGTGATTGCGTGGAGTTTTTTTTTTTGAAAAGAGGGAACGAATTCCCCCTGTTCATTATTTTTTTTTTTTTCGTTTATCAATAATAACGGTTTATTATTATCTCGTTGTATCTTTGTAACTGAAGGAAGGAACTAACACTAATTGTATAAAAAAAAAGAAGTATATATATAATTTGTAAATGTATAAACAAAAGGAAAGATTAAGAAAGGGGAGGCTCCTTAATTAATATTAGTAATTATATTCTCATGTTATTTTTTACGTTTAACTTTTTACGGACGTTATTTCCTACTTTTTGACTGATTGGGAATAATAATGAGGAAGGCGAGAAAGTAACAGAATAAAAAAACAAAAAGAAAAGAAATCGAAAAATGTGTGAAAAAAAAAATAAATAAATAAATAAGTAAATAAATATAAATTTGAATGTAAGCGAACGCGCGCGAATTATGTACGAAAACGTTTGTTTTTATTTTGTTTTGTTTCATAAACGTAACGATGGTGATCCAAACAAATTATTCTTTTGTTCGTTTTAAAATAGGTACAACAACAACAAAAAAAACAAATTGTCTTTGTGCTTTTAATTATATTATTGTTATTAATTTTTACACATATATATTATCAGTAATTGTATAAATAATTCTTCGTTTATTCGTATTCTTTCTATAATTTGTTCGCTCTTAAAGGAAAGGCAAGAGACAGAAAACACACATTTTCTTTACGGTTTCGGATCTAGTTATTTTAATTTTGTTTTTGTGTTTTTTTTTAATTGCGAAGAACGCAATTCAATTGGTGATACACACACAAATATATATATATATTTTATAATAATTCTTAACTCTAGTAGAAGATTAAAAAAAAAGAAGAAATTAGTGAAGTAATCCGGAACCGGAAGTAATTCAAAATTTTTTTTTTTTTTTTCAAT